ACACACACACACACACACACACACACACACACACACACACACACACATATATAAAAACCAGTCACAAAACTAACTCCCGATGGTGCGATAAAATGTCTAATAAATGTCGTGGGGACATATATTATTATATGTGTGTATATATTATAATGTTAGCTTCTTTCCTGTACGATTTTACTGCAGTCACCGATGGGTACGGGTATTTCTGTGATCAAACACAGCTGACGAGTGCTACGGCGTGGGATGAATAAGCCCCACGCACCAAGCATAAGATTATTGTAGGTATAGGTATGTGCGTATTTATATTCCTCGAAACTATAACGCATTTATATTGCATATGTGTCAAGGCGGACACACAGTTCTGTTCTATTTAGCCTCGAGGTAAACGAAATCATGGCTCAGTAAAAGCTATTTCGAAAATCGATTTTTCCCCAGCCGATGACGATGCGCCTGTCGTATCAACAGTGTAGTTCGAATATATTTGTAGTAGAAAATGTTATTCCGATGTGGAATCAAAACCGATTAGTTTAAATCAAACTTAATGGCTGTTATACACGGGAATAGGAAAATAGTTGCGCTTAATTTTTACGCACCCTAGTCGTATGAATAATTTATTACCGATTGGATTAGAATGACAAACATTGTTACTTTCGCATTAACACTAAACGTAGTTTTATAATATTTGCGTGGCTTTTAGATTAACTATACGTTTTCCACGAGTGTAATTATTGTTATTGATATAAATCCAACTTAAGGATATTTAGTAATCAAAACTATCACTATAATCGTTAGATACAAGAACGGTTATTTGACTACAATTTAAGTAAATTTTACTTTTTACCATGGGGTACAGTAGGAAGGGAAGAATGATAACAATGAAAAAGTGATGAATATACAAATTCATCAATTTGTCATTAGGACATGTAAACGGAATGACGTACCTTGGCAAAAAATATGCCGTTTATGCGGATACTCGATTTGTATTTATAAATGGTTTATTGTTAACGTTAATATGGTTTATGCATTATTAGAACTTGTAGTTGTCATTTAAAGTAATCATTGTAGTAAATTTTTTGTGTTCAAACAATTCAAAACTAGTTTTTAAAAAGAAAAAAAAAACATGAATGAATTGGAAAAATACCATGAAAATTAATTTTTATACGACGTCTGTTTTTCTTTTATTCCACTTTATTTTAAAATAACTAACATTAACTTCAGAAAAACAACATAAACGATTCATATTTATCTTTGAATACATAATTTATACTTTGTATAAGATATATTATTTTATGTTTAGTAAATTTAGACATTACGATATTGTAATAAACATTTTTTCGAACTCATTCTTAAAAACTCCACTGGTTGTTTATTGAAATTAAATTTTTTTTATTGTTTGATATATTCTTTTTAAATTTCGATTACTTCTAAACAGTTGATCGTGATTTTATAGGATGAAAGAAATAAATATTTATATTATATAATAAGAATAATCTACAATATGTGACAAAATTTCAAAATATAAAAAATTACAACTTGTTGAAAAATATCGATAAATTGCCTATAATTAGCAGTGTTACACAAATATAACTAAACATTTATCTAGATAAAGATAAAAAAATAGCTCAAACCTAAATTATCTAGATATAGATAAAATATAAAATACTATTTATTTATAAAAATAATTTTAATTTTATTAATTAACTTACACTTTTTTTTATAAATTGATACTTAAAAAATGTAAATAAATTAAAATTTACTTAAATATAATGGGTACCTCCAATATAAATAACGAACAAAAAATATTTATACTATATACATTTATGTTTGGGAAATAATGAATAATAAGTACTTAGAATATATGCTAGTAAGAACTTATGATAATATATAATAGGATATTCAATATATTTTTATACTTACCTGTGATCAGATGTGAAAGTGTATGTAACTACATCAAAATATGAGTATATTTCAACAAAATTTAATAAAAACAACAATGGTTTTTTAATTTTTTTTTTTTTTATGATTCTCACATTATATTTGCCAATCAAAATCAAATATTTCTTATGATTTTTCACAGAATTTATTTCAACTACACTCGTATTTGATAAAAAATAAATATAAATATTGTTTTGAAAAGAAAATCTATTTTGCAGTACATAATAAATATGTAAATTATTTTAAATTATTATTGAAAAGAAAACAGTTAAAATTATATTATAATTTTCTTTGTCGACATTGTTTGAAAAATAATAGAGTAAAACAAAAAAAATATTGATATAATATTATTAAATAAAACAGTATGGAAACATCGAATGTATTGTAAATTTCATTGACTTCAATCTCGATATTATTTCTAACTTTACAGTGTTCTTATTTCAATCTAACTGGCGCAACAATTTTAGTTGAATATACATTATTACTTTAAATATAATTCATTGAAATTTAAAAAACTAATCATTTGGATGGCCAGTACATTTTCAATTATCATGACGTTTACCATTCATTAAAGTATCGAAATCCATAATAATAATTTTATTTGAAGTACTAGTATAACATAATACATGTCACGTATATATAATACTATAAATAAGATAAACATATCAAAAATATTGTGTTGTTGATATACGTTTATTACAATAATTAGAATTTAATTACTCAATATATTAACATTTATAGGTGAGTTATCATTTTTTTTTTGTAATATTCTCCAAGAGATCGTTAGGTAACCAATAATTAATACATACTCGTATATATATAAATATATATTACGATATCGAATTTTTATTTTATCGATTCATAAGATTATACATACTTTTAACTCATATTTTAAACTTAATTGAAATGCATGAATGCATGATAATATACGAGATAAAACGAAAAAAAAAAATTGATAACATATATTCACAATAATTTTAAATTACTACTGGTAAACGACAAACATAAATACGAAAAATATAGGTTAGGTTAGGTTAGCATTTATTTAAATGTAATTATTATTGTTAAAGATGAAATTATGGTGTGTAATTTAATATTAAGAAAATATGATGAAAATATGCTTAACATTTTAATGATCGTTTTTTGAGAGTATATAGAACTATTTAGAGTGTTTTCGTGAGGGTTAAAAGGTTAAAAGATTAATAATAATTAATTAATCACTTGCGTGGCACTTGTACACTATACGAATACTTTTGATGTGGTTTTTGTTTAGCAATAGTATTATAGTAATAATCTAAATATTATTGTAATATAAAATCATGGCCAAATGCTAAAATTGATGAAATTACTGTTTGAAAACATGCAAACCAACTGCTGTTATGAAAAATTAATATAATACACGTATAATATCTATAAATAGCATAAAACAGTCGTCCCACGTTT